GGTCTTGAATAAGTCTAATCTCTTCCCATGATTGCCTTGTGTCACTGCTCAACATTTGACATCAGTGGATAAAATTTGTTATTTAGCCTACTGCTGCTGAAACCAAACAACAACAGTATCTGCTTGAATAGGAGGCGTGTGACACAGTGGATAGAGCGTTGGTGTTCGGGGAGCACAGGTTCAAACCCCACTGCAGTCAGCATGTCGTTGTGTCCCTGGGCAAGACACTTCACCCCAAATTGCTCCTGTGGGGATTGCCCACAGTATTAAGAATGTAAGTCGCTTTGGATAAAACAAGTAACATGTAATATAATGTAATATCCCTGAAACATCACTATGGGACTGAAACGTAAGTCAACAAAAGATGTTTTGCTGTGATTTAAGATTACACAAAAAGCAAAGCGGAATTTGACACATTTACTTCGTGATGATGATGAGATTAATTATGTACAGATTATTGAGATCACCAAAAAGTAGTTTCATATTCTTCGAACATCGATACAAAATATATAATTCATAATCACAGGATTGTTCTTTTGCACCATTACAACGTATAGTGATGTTTTTTATGTTTATGTGTCAGGTGTTAAGTCTTCGGTCAGAAATAGATCTTGGCAGTATAGACAGGGTTAGTATTGAATAATTACCACCACTGTAATAATTAGTGCAATAGCAGCTGTCTATCTGTCTATGTGGTGATATTATGGAAGACGCTTAAACATTCACAAAAGGCACAATTCCTGCAGTACGGCACAGAAGAGAAGAAAATAATCATACACAAAACAAAGGGCGTTGTTAGGAATATCTACAACCAATTTGTATTTCAATCAATCTGTTTTGGCTTTGTTTATTGTCAAATATTCTTCTCTTGCTCTGTCAAATTTAAAACAGGCCCCATTAAGCTCCATTAAAACGCTGGAAACGGCAATAAAACAGCATTGTGTCTCTGAATACACAAACCTGAAGCACAAATAACCACATTATCATGAGGGCTGAACGGTAATTAATATTATCATTCTGTGCCATTGTTTTGTGATGACATAATTATAACATGGCCGTTTTCAAATATATGTCGCATGTGTATCAATGATTCATTATTAAAACCAAAAAAATAATTAGCAGCAAAATCCATTGTTGACCGACAGAACAGTATTTGTTACAAAATATCAGTACTATTTAAACAGCAATGATATTTTACTTCTATTGCAGTTGTTTTGGATGAAGTTTACTTTACGAACACATACTGTATGTTGCATGTTGTTCAAATTGCAAAACTATTTCAGGTACATTTGTGATTACAGGTTATATAACGAGGCATGTTGACAAGGTTTTTCACTATTTTCGCACTCTAGAAAAACATGTGAGGTCTAAACTTGTTATTGTTTTAAATTCCTAATGCTAAATTCAATAAAGGCTTTGAATATGACTTTCTTTTTACATATCATTTTTGTTTGCCTGTTGAGACAAACCCACAGCATATTTAGAGGTAGAGAGAATACAAAAATAGTTTCTCTTTTAAACTACTTCATCATTTGAAACCAGAAGTATGCGTTGATCCTTTGAATCAAAGCTCCCCTTTGACATCAGGACAGCAGAAAGCTCACACATCTTCCGGCGTAGACTGAATACTCATCTCTTTCGACTCCACTTCGAGCAATACAATTACTAACCAAGCACTTATATACTAATAAAGGACTGGCTTATCTAAAGCCAGTTGAGTAGCACTTGAAATGTTTGGCTCTATGAAACCTGATGTACTTCTATGATTCAGTTTTCTTCAAGTTTGTATCTTCTTGGTCGAAACTTATTGTAAGTCTCTTTGGATAAAAGCGTCAGCTAAATGAAATGTAATGAATCTGTTATATTTGCAAATGGAAAAGAGCACATCAATCACTAATTTCTCTAGAGTAAGTGTTATAAATGTTTCATCAGTGTGACCTCAGGTTTAGTAATATAACTAGATTCAATTATTTGAAGAACTATGCATTCCTATTTTGTAAGAAACATCATTTAGGCTGTTAGCAAAGGTTAATGAAGTTTATGTTGCATTCATGACCTGCGAGTGTCAAACAACAGACACTGTAGATCAGGGGTTTCAAACTCAATTTCATCGCGGGCCACATTCGCATTATGGTTGCACTCAAAAGGCCCGGTTGTAACATTAAGACTATATAAAAATACATGCCAAGGCACAC